ACCTGAGTGGGTCAGTTGGTTAAGCGTCTAACTCTTGATTTTGGCTCAGGTCAAGATTTCGGGGTCATGAGATCAAGCCCAGGTCAGGCTACTCCTGCTCAGCAGGATGTCTGCTTCTTTCCCTCTCTCTCTGTCCCTCCCCCCACACATGCACATTCTCTCACTCTCTGTCTCTAAAATAAATAAATACAACTTAAAAAGAGAGAGAAAGAGAGAGAATAGAGGCAGAGCCAAGATTTGGAACTAGGCTTGACTAACACCAAAACCTATGCCCTTGAACTTGATTCTAGACTGCCAACCAAGGAAAAGAAAGGAAAAAACCCCACAGGAGAGCTTTTGCCAGTAGTGAACTTGTCTGTGTTCCCCTCATGAAACACTTGAACATTTCTAAAGCTGCTCAGGCCGGAATGGCTCTGCATTTCCAAGCATAGAATTAGAGGGACTTGGATCTGATCTGATGTAAGCCTGGGCCTCTGCAGGCTCCTGTCCTTTCCCAGCGATTAGCCCCTCAGGTACAGTAGTCCTCTTCATGGACCCAGCATTCGTGGGTAAACCTTCCTCTGTCGTAGCAGGTTTGGGCCCATGAATTCAGGCCCTAGAGGACAGTGTACAAATGGGGTCTATGAAATCGATACTGACAGCAGCAAAACTTCCAGAGCAAGAGGGAGCAATGGGAGCAAAGAAATAGCCCATATTTTCCCAAGGCTCAGCCTTATAATTTTCCTGGAAATTTCCAAGCAGTCATTCAGCTAGCCATTCAGGACTCTCAGTAGCATAGGGCTGTCCTTGACACTGAAGGCAAAAATTCCTCTCTGTGCTCTTCCTTCCATCCCTCTTGGAGGCCAATACTCATGTTCACTGTCCAAAGAAATGGGCCAATCATATTCCTCACCAAAGATAACGAAAGCCATGTAAACTTGGAATCCAATGTGGCACCATTATCCTGTTATTCCACGTTACAGATGATAAAAATGAGGCTCCCCAAAGTTAAGGGCTTAAAGAGCAGAGTCTCTGGGGCTCTGATTATGTCACTTCAGGCGCCAGTGACTTCCTTCCAAGATCTGTGATTTTCGAGCTGTTGGGCTCCCCAAGCCAATGAGAGAGGCCAGGGGAGACTCAGCAGGCACTGAGACCAGCCTGACCAGCCAGGAGACCGACCCAAAGCAACACCTGATGCATACTTACTTGTTGAAGGCAGGAATGGACGGATAAATGAATAAATCAGTGTTTCAGAGTCCCTTTTTATCTGTATTGGAGCTCTAGCTAAGATGTCATTATAAAGAAAAAAAAGTTTCCATTATGTGAAATCAAAGTCTAAAAACCACAGAACTGGAGTAGACAATGTTGACTGCCACCACTCCCCTCCTCAATTACTAGTGGATTTTTGACACAGGGCTGGTGTTGGGAGGGTAGAGAGAAGAGATGAGGGAAGAGGCAACCTAAAAAACCTGGTACCTAGTGAATTAATTAATTAAAAAGAAACCTGGAAGCATGGCTGTCAGCTGGATCGTTGGATACCCTGGATCACTGCTTCACTCAAGGTCAGAAGTCCTGAATCTGTAGTCCTTAGACCTCATGATTACTAGGCAAATCCTTGTGTACAGAGATTTTTCTAGGCAGAGGATAGGAAATCCTTATCAGATTCTCTAAGGCACATGTTGACCTACGAAAAGTTATGCTGCACTGGTTTAAGGCAAGGCCTCGACCTCCACAAACAGAGGCAATTTTAGTCATAAGGAGCTAGAACATTTTATCGCCAAGGAAAAGGCGAGACAAAAATCTGCCTTGCGCCAAGCCACATGGCAGGTGTGTGGCAGGGCCAGGATCTGAATCTGGGATTCATAGGATTTTTTTTTTTTTTAAAGATTGTATTTATTTATTTGAGAGACAGAGAGAGCATGAGCGGGGTGGTGGGGGGCAGAAAGAGAAGGAGAAGCTGGCTCCCCGCTGAGCAGGAAGCCCAACTCAGGTGTCCATCCCAGGACCCTAGGATCGTGACCTGAGCCAAAGACAGCCGCTTAACCAACTGAGCCACCCAGGAGCCCTTAATATTCTTTTTAGTATATCAACAGTTCCTGAGCTGGGGTCCATGGTTGGCCTTCAGGATCCCAGAATCAGCTCAATTGTGTGCACAGTTGGGAGGATGCCCACTTTTCTATGGGAAGGAGTCGGTGCTTTCACCACATTGTCAAAGGGGTCTGTGACCTACAGAAGATGGAGGACCCCTGTGATCCTCTCTGTCGGTCCTCGGTTCTGCCTTACCCACAGACCCTGGAGAACTTACGGGTAGAGTGGTTTCTGTTCTGGGGCAATTGATGTCCAGTCAGCATGGGGACGTATGTACATGAGGTCAGCGCTCTTGCGGGCCCCATGCAACCCTCTCCTAGCCTGGGGACACTCAGCCCTTTCCCAGGAATAGGCTGAGAGTGATAGGGGGTATGCTGAGAGAATGGGGCATGCTGAATGTCTTTGCATCAGCCCAGATGTCAAAGCTGAGACTTCGGACATGCTCGGAACAGTTTTCGCCAAGACGGGCTCTCTCCCCTGGGAGACTGAGGGAGCAGGCAAAGCCAGCCAGCACTCAGTTAAATGTCGTCTTAATTTGGAAAGCGTAGAGGGACTTTTTTTTATCAATAGTCAGCCATTCTCCAGCACAAGGCGTGCGCTGCAATGTTCACTTGGAGCCTGGGGGCAGCTCAGAGATTGATAGCAGCCTCCTGTCTGTCACCCAACTTCAGCTTGGCAGCTCACTGACCCTGCCTCTCCTCCGGCTGAAACAAGCGTGAGATGGCAACCACTACCCAGGGGACTCTGGAGAGAACCCAATCCCCACAGGAAAACAGGAGAGGGAGGGAGGTTGTCTTAGCACAGGCTCGGCCTGGCACATAATATGCATCTAGAAAATAGGCCAGCCTTTTCCAGCTCCTACTAAGGAGGGAGTATAATGTAATGGGTAGGGAGAGGAGAGAGGCATGATCAAAAACATTCATTCAGGGGCGCCTGGGTGGCTCAGTGGGTTAAAGCCTCTGCCTTCAGCTCAGGTCATGATCCCAGGGTCCTGGGATCGAGCCCCGCATCGGGTTCTCTTCTCAGCAGGAAGCCTTCTTCCTCCTCTCTCTCTCTCTCTCTGCCTGCTTCTCTGCCTACATGTGATCTCTGTCTGTCAAATAAATAAAATATTTAAAAAAAAGAAAAAACCATTCGTTCAACAAATACTTTGTGTTTATTGAGTGATTGCTATGTGTCAGAAATAGCAGTGGGGGGTATACAGAAACACTGGTGCAACATTTAAAGCACCTACTATGTGTTAGCTGGGCTTGGTGCTAGGTATTGTGTAGAGAGGGGGACAATGCATAAAACCACACATTCTTTGAATAAATATTTACTGAACATGTACTAAGTACCCTGTACTGTATTAGCACTGAAGATATAATGACTTAAACAGCCTTGTTCCGACTATAGCATCAGGACTCCCTGAAAACAGCATCTCTGGATAAGGAAACTGAGGCAGCAGAGAATTGCACAAAAGTCTCATTGCTGAGGGCCCTAGGTCCCCAGACTTGGGTCCCCCAGTATTTTAACCCAGGCTAGGACCACTTCCCTGTCCTCCCCCTCAGTATGTCCTTTCAGGGCAATGACGATGAGTCATTAATAATGGAATTTTAATGGCAAAGCACAGCAGGGCCCCATCTGTGGAAGAAGCCCATCCCCTGGGGCCATGTGGAGCCTGCAGAGACCGAACAGCCGAGGATTTTTGGTCCCTTGACAACGCCTCTCTCATGACTCTCCCATCCTCCCTCTCCACCAGGAGAGCTTAAAAATATCCCACCTCCACGGCTGGTACCCCAAATTGAATCAGTACTTAACTTATAATGACTGGGAGGAAAGGAGGGTGGCATCTGATCATCAACACAGGATACCCACTGTCCTGGGGCTGTGTGAAGCCCCTCCCTCCCCGGAAGGAATCAGGAACCCAGAATGACAACAGGAAGGGAAGAGGCTGAAGAGCTGGGCTCCGCAGGAGGGCAGGAAATGACAGTCTCCAGAAGGTGCCTCAGGAGGGTTGATGGGCAGTCTGCATGGAGCAGGGCTCTGTGCTCAGCTCAGGCTGGAAAAGGGTTAACCAAGTTCTTCACTGCAGGACTTCTTGGAACCTTAAAGATGCTGATGTGCATTGTGAATCTATAAAAAAGGGATGTCTAGTACAGCATTTCCCAAACTTATTTGACCACAGAAACCTTTTTTTTTTTTTTGCAGACAGATTAGTGCATTGCACAATGTAAAAACCTGAGCTTTAACCAATGTGTATATGGAGCCCGTAACAGCAAGGGGCCCTGTGCTAAGTGCTGAGGATTCCAGATTACAAAGACAACAAGGTCCCAGATCCCAAGGAGCCATTTGTGGAAGGCAACTGCATAAGGGGACCAGCATGGCAGTGGAAGGTGGTGGGGGTGGGGTGGGGGTGGTGGTGGCCAGTGTGCAAGGCAGCCCTGGAAAGGGAACAGCTGTCAGGGGGAGGTGCTGGAGCTGGAGGAAGCCAGTAGTGAGAGGAAGGTGCTAGAAGAGTATGGTAGGACCCACTAGAGGTTGGCAGGGTTGGGCAGGGGGGAGAGATAGGGAGCAGAGGGGGAAACATGGACAACCTTCTCCCGCCCAATTCCTCCCACCTCTCAACTAGCGGAGCTGGGTGGTCTTTCCCATTTGAACAGTTACTAGAGGGTTTGATCCTCAGTCCTTCCCCCACTCCCACCCCCACCACATCTATGCTATTGAACTTGGGCTAACATCCAGAAGCCAGGGAACAGCTATGCACAAATTCAGTAATTGGAGTCATTAGCGTTGACTCAGAAATCATTTTTTCCTAAGTCTCTCTCTTGGAGAAGCTTTTAAGACCCTTCAAATTGGTTAATGGAGAGTTTAGAAATGAGGTTGGAGCCTCAGCTTTCAGCTCCCCCTGCCCAACCCCCAGGTCTCCCCAACATACTCAAGGGCAAGAGTGATGAGATAATCCAATATCTATTTTATTAAACTCTCATCCATTTCTGGCATACCTTTCACAAACAAGGATCTCTAAATCTATACTTCCCTGCGCAAATCTCCAGGCGCTCAGTCTCCACTTCCTCCCTCACACTGGCCAGATGACAAGAACACTTTCACGTAAATCTACAGTGTGAAAGGCACAAAAGAGCCCTGGGCTAGGAGTCAGGGGGCCTGGGTCTTCTCGGAGCCTACTGACTCATAAAGCTGTGTAACCATGGGCACCACTCCGCCTCCCTGGGCTTCAGTGAGGACCAAGGTCCTTTCTGCCACAAAATGCCCCACATAGGCTCAGGGTAGAAGGGCAGACACCAGTGCCTTTGGTTTACAACTGAGAAAACAGTGTAGTGGGTCAGGTCACTGCTTCAAGAGGAAATGGCCCAGACCTGGGTCTTCACACACTTTCTTCTTTACTGTGCTGGGGCAGGTACTTAAGGTTCTTCGGGAAGTTGAGAAGACAACTGGCCTCTGCTCTGGGGCTCAAGTTGTGGTATCTCTCTGAGAACCCACAGGCTCCCTTCTGTAGGGCTGAAGTGAGAGGATCTGAAAAAGTCAAGCAGATACGGCAAGCATGTAGGCAAGAAATTCGTTCCTTCCAAATCAAAGGTGAAATGGGAGATGATCATGAATCCACAGGGGATGAATAAAAGCAAATATTGGGGCTCATCTTGAGAATGGCCTGATTAAGTGTTCTCTGAGTTTTAGCCATTCATGGAACCACCCTCATGGTTTTTGCCACCTCTCCGGATCTGTGTTCCCCTTTATCCAATTTCACAATGTTTTTCTTTAAATGGATTATTTTTATTTTTTTATTTTATTTTATTTTTTTAAAGATTTCATTTATTTATTTGACAGACAGAGATCACAAGTAGGCAGAAAGGCAGGCAGAGAGAGAGGGGAAAGCAGCCTCCCTGCTGAGCAGAGAGCCCGACACGGGGCTCGATCCCAGGACCCTGAGATCATGACCGGAGCTGAATGCAGAGGCTTAACCCACTGAGCCACCCAGGTGCCCCTAAGTGGATTATTTTTAATATCTGTGAAACCATGATGTGCTAGTCACATTTTTACATTATTAATTATCCATTTATTAAATATCCAATTAGTAATATAGAAAATATTGAGTACCTAAAATCCTCTCATGAACCACCAGAGGCACATACATCAGATGTTGGCAAAAACTGATATAGTCGGAGCCTGAGGAAACTGAGGCACGGGAGGAAATAGGTAAGGGGTTTACTCAAGGTCATAGGCTAAGGTGAGGTCCAGGGCCTCTGGACCCTTCAGGAGACTTTTTCACAGGTCACTGAATGAATCCCTTTTGTGCACAGAACCAGAAATCACTGTGGATGTTTCCACTTCTCATCTGGGAGGCTACCAATTGGGGGAAAGGTCAAAGTCATTCATGGGCCATGTACTTGAAATTGCTTGAGACCCTCAGCTTCCACTGGCATGTCTTGGAAAAGGACACTGACACCATTTTTTTTTTTACCAGCCAACCTCTCTGCCCTCCCCCCCAACACCAGTGAGAGGCACCAGTGACTAGGTCTTATCTCACCTTAGCCAAAACCCAGTCTGACGAGACTCCTTTCCAAGGGATAGCTGAACGGGGGGAGAGCAATGTTGGGGGCTCCAGGGCTGGCTCTGAGACGCCCACTTCTACAGAGGAGGCCAAGGTTCCCTGTGCTCGAGGCGTGTGGGAGGTGGGAGGCCCCTGCCAGCAGAGTGTTGAAGCTGTGGAGGGAGGGACTGGAGAAGGACTTCAATCCTTTAACTGCCAGGTCGCTGGTCCCCAGGGCTGTGAGGAGAAACAAGAGCAGCTCTTACTCATACTGTGGGTTCCTACTTCAGAGCAAGGACTTCTTCAAGGACTTAGTGGGCTCTAGCATTGTTAACCCAGGCTTGCCCGAGTGACTCATGAGTGAGCAGGACTCTCAGAGGACTTGAAGGGTAATTCAGGGCAATGAGGCAGTATCTTGGGAGACTGTCTCTCCTGAAAAAATTATCAGATTAGCTCCCACTTATTCAATACCTGCTCTGTGCTAGGTTGTGCTGAACCCTCTAGAGTCATCCCATTTAATCCTTACAACCCAGTGACGGAGGTACCAGTAGTACCCTCACTTTCAGAAGTGAAGAACCTAAGGCTCAAAGACACCAAGTCCAAGTTCAGTGACAGAGCAGAGGTTAAAACTCAGGCGTGTCTGTCTCAAAAAGCTATACTCTTACCCGTTACTGAGGCAGGAAATGGCAAGCGGACCAAGCCACCCCCTTCTCTGTCACAGGGTAATCAGCTCATGGGAGAGAACCTGTTGGCTTCGACACGCACCTTTACCTGCTGCCTCCATGGAAAAGAGGGTCTGCAACCTCTCCTGGGCAGGTTCATTGCCCAGAGCCGCGGATTGCTGGTAACATCTCACAGCCTCTCCCAGGTTCCTCCGCACACCAAGGCCCTTCTCAAAGCAAATTCCCAAGTGGTACCTGCTCTGTGAGTCCTAAAGGGGAAGATGGACAGACACAGAGATGTGTACACCTGCAGGAGTGAAGAACTGAAATGCAAAGGCAGGAGGAAAGTGGAGCAGTCAGACAAGCCGGGGCTTCATCTGTGCAGGTTCAAGGCCCAGTCTTGGCCCTCTCTGGACCAAGGGATCACAAGTACAAAAAGCCAGAGGCCTGGAGTTTGCCCAACACAGAGGAGCTGGGGATCCTTCTGTCCAGGGAGATTCGAGCCAGAGCAGCATGGCTGCTTCTCTGGCCGAGGCTGGTGCAGAAGGCGGGCAGACATGAGGGCCACAGGGAGCAGCCAGCCTAAGTACGGGGAACCCGGGAGTCAGGTTCCTACTTCAGCTGAAAGAGCCAGAAGCGAGAGGGTAGGCTAAGCTTCCCAAAGGCCCTGCATGCCTTCTGAACCTCTACTGAGGCCCTGCAAAACATACAGTCCAGAGAATGTTCCCCGTTTGAAAGATTAAAAGGTTCTGAATCCTCTCTTCCCTGACAACTAGGAACAGGTAGGGCTGCAGAGCACAACCTATAGAGGCAGACTGCCTGGGTTCCAATCCCAGCTCCACCAATTACAGTGGAGGAACCTTAGGCAAGTACTCCACGCCTCTGTGCCTCAGTCTCCTCATCTATCAAGTATGAAATTGTAACAGTACCTACCTTACTGCATTGTTACAAGGATAACATACATTAATACATGAATAATGCTTAGATTACTGTTATTATTATTTTCATACCTTTATTTGCCCCCATCATTAATCTTGCCCTCTCTGGTGGAATATTATTGTTATATTCAAGCCCCCAACTTAAAAAAAACAAAATACTCTGTGGATTCCCAACCACGGTCCCATTCCTCTTCTACCTTCCAGTGTCAAATTTCTGGACCGAGTTTCTGTCACATGCGCATCAAAGTCTACGTCACAAATATGGTGGGCTCATGGCCAGCCCTGGACACTCATAAGTCCAAAACTCCCACCCTGCCACACTGCTCAGCACAAACCTACAGAGACCCAGTTCCTGCTGGAGTGGGTGAGTGTGAGGACTGTGCCCAGCACACTTTGTGCATATCTCCTAGCATGCTGGGTGACTAAAGCAGGCCAAGGGGCCCCCAGGCTTGTCCAGCTCATGAGGGATGTAAGGCACCCTCAGCCCGAGAAGGTCCTGGGGCTCTATCAAGGAAGGCAGGCGCAGAGGCAGTACTGGTGAGTGACATCGCCCCCCTTTCGAGGCAACGACAGATAACACCAAGTAAAAATAAGAAAGTATTCTGATGCCCAAGAGTTTGATGAAGCTATCATTGTGCTGGCCCAAAAACACAGAGGAGCCCCTCTGCAGGGCAATTCTCATCCAAGGCCATGGCTTGAGTTAATCCAGTACTCCTGGTCCTCCAAGAGGCCACACCAAAAAAAAAAATCCTGGTCAAGTACACTTGAGGAGTACAGCAAACCAGAGATGCCCTTTTGGTGATCAGCACAGAGAGAAAGCTCTGAGATCTCCTGCATTGAAGACAGCTGGTTGGCTCAGTATTTCCAAACCCCTTGGACCATGTTTTCCCCAGGATTACTTACAAATACCGCCTGGAACTAATACTCTGGAGGATATACTCTGAGTCCTACAGGCTGGGCGGCAATACCCCCCTACATGTGTCGCCACCCCCAAACTGCTCCGTGTCTTCTGACTTCCCTGAACCACACAGCTCATGAGGACGCACCTTCCTTGTGCACCACTTACCAAGTGCTCGCTTGCACACCTGTTACCTTAGGTACACTGGGCTCCTCACAACTACAACAACAACAACAACAACCACCTTGAGAAGCAGCAGACAGGTGAGGCAGCCTGCGACAAGGGAAACAAGAAGCCACCAGCCTAGTCGTGTGCTGATAAATGTAATCACGGGCTGTCCAGTGAAACCAGCCCTGCTTTGTAGTCCTGAGTCCCTTCTGTATGGCACACACTCCTCCCACAGCTGATTTTAAGGCCTCCCCCAGCACCTCTTGCAGACTGGTGTAAGCCAGCTCCCGTGTGCCACTAGACCTGCCCAGGGGTCACACAGTAAGTCAGTGACAGTTAAGAGTTGAAACCAGCCCACCCCATGTGTCCCTGTCAACCGTATCCTGTGCATCCTGGGGCTCGGTACCAATTCCCAAATCCCCTCCTTCCTCAGACTCGATCCCCCAACATGGTGGGACGCTGGAGATGTCCTACCCCATTGTTGGCTGCAAGCCAAAAGTATTTCACAGCGTTCTGCTCATCCAGGTGTGGCTCCTTGGTGAAAAGCACCCCGAGGAAAGCTTGAGCCTATGGCCAGGGAAGAAGGAGAAATGTTGGTCCCTTCCTGGCCCCATGTGCTCCAGGAGACACCCCGCCTGGGCACTCACCTCTCTCAAGCCCGAGTCAGCAGCCTGCTTCAGCATGGACACTGCCCTCTGCCGCTTAGGTGCCCCCTCGGAGGCCAGGCCTTGCAGCAGACACCTGGCGTAGCGGTACTGAGCCAGCCTGTGGCCCTGGCTGGCAGCCAGCTGGTAGGAAAGGACTGCCTGGGACAAAGGGAGAGACCCCCCCTCCCTAAGTTAGCAGGTACCCCTGCAAGCCAGCTTTCCCTTCGAATGAAATTTGTAAAAATTATTTTAATTAAATAGAACCTAATCCATAGAGATTAGTCAGGAAATACAGATAAACCCAGATTTCAAAATACAGATAAACTGAAAATAGAAACATGAAATCCCAAGAGATTCTGCCTTCTAAAGATCATTCTCGGCTTACCTTTTAGTTCACAGTTTTGCAAATTTCTTCCCCCACACACATGTGTTTATACCCACACACATACACATTCACACACACAGACGTATATAAATGTATGTGTGTATAACAGGGAAAAATAAACAGAGAGACAGAGAACAACATTCACAATTTTGTAACCTATTTTTTCACTTAACACACAGAGAATATCTTTCCCTGCCAGTAAATATAGACCTAGCCCATTATTTTTAAGACCCACATAGATATTATAAACCAACACACTATGGAAGGAACTTCAAATTGCTTCCCTCTTCTTTTGCTATCATACACAATTCTAAGAAATTCACTCTTGTATAGAACATCTTAGTCTACTTTCCTACTTGTTTAGAATGAATTAATCCATTCGCCAAGGTAAGGTTCTAGGTCCCGACGATACAGCTACAAAGAAGACCAACAAGGTCCCTGACTCCTTTTGAGTCTAAATTCCTAGAAGTTAGGAGCTTCTTCTTCTCTTGTGTCTGAGAGACAGAAGCTGAACTCTCCCCAAGCCCTGCCCACTGCTCATTTCTGGAGGTCACCTCTCGACAGTGCAACATGGTGGACAGGCCTAGGACAGAGAGAAGGTCTGGTACCTTGCCCAGGTCCTTGGGGGTGCCTCTGCCATGCTCGTGACACAAGCCCACGTTGTATTGTGCTTTGCTGTAGCCATGGTCTGCTGCTTTCTGGAAGTAAGAAAAGGCTGCCACGTAGTCCCCATTCCTCATGTTCTCTGTGCCTATAAGAAAGCAAAGGGTGGAAATACAGCTTTCTCTGTGAACTTCCTCACATCCTTGGCCAACTCATAGGCTGCTTCCTTGCTTTTTGGTGCTAGATACTTTGCATGTTTCCATCCTCCAAATGTTCCACTGGTTTGCCAAAGACCTCAGTGGCTTCTGTCCTCCTATACAACATCCTCCTCTTGGTGACAGCATCCCAGTCTCCCTTTGGGAGGAGACCCTCCCCCTTCCCCCACTCCACATGCTACCAATCGATGTACTGTGCTCTTCCCCACCAATAAGTCCCTCACTCAGGAATTGGAATCTTAACCTGGTTGAGGCATGAGAGAAACAGCTTTTGAGGGTTTATTCTGAAAGCAGCACTCTGAAGACACTGTCCCTAAGTCACTGCCCCCCTCATTCTTGTTCTTTCTGACACATGGCAAGTCAACAGATCCCAACGGATTCCTTCTGTGCTTAAGCTAGCCAGAGGGGGTTCGAGCTGCTTGTAACCAACTAAATGTAACTGATAACAGCTGATACTGTTAATCCTGCTTTAGGAGGACCTCAACAGAGAGAATATAAGAACTACAAGACAGATGAACTCAGGGATGTCCGACAACCAAGCCCATGTGCTTTGTTTCATCCAAAGAAACAAAGAAACAAATGAAAAACAGAGACAGGGCTGGGTGCAGTCAAGTCCCCGAGTTCCCATTCAAACCTTTTCCTGATGTTCTCCTGCCTCGGGTATCTCTCTGCCTCCACTGTCAGGCCTTCCCATCCTGTTTCTCTGGAACCTTCAGACCACACTCAGGCTTTAAACACTCTTTTGGCATTTACTTAATATACAGGCTTTTTTCTCTGAACTAGACTGTTTCCAGAGTACAAGCCCTGTCTCCTCAATTAGACTGCAAAATCCTGGAGGCAGAAGCAGAAAAAGAATGTAGAAGAAATAACTTTGCATTGGGTGAAAGCTCTATACAAATGCAAAATATGATTATGGCTTATGCTCCCTTTGTGTTCTGCCACACTGCTTAGCATTGCTGAATAAATGAATATATGAATGAAGGAATGGGCAAGAAAATTCTCAGAAGAGACTATCTGCCCATCAAAATCACAAAAAGCTAATGAGGCAGAAGCCAGGTTCCATTCAGCCCACAGTGAATTAAAGTCACCTCCCTGCTACCTGAAAATTCGCTGTCCAGGATTCACAGAGCCCTCTGTCCTTCAGAAGACTAAAGAGGGCGAAGGATACCACCCTGAGCCCATTCCCCCCACCCCGCTGGCTCCCTGATCCATCTCTCTTCTTTCTCTTCTGCCCCTAATCAAAACCAAGCCACCATGAGGCTTTGCTATGCTATCAGCAACAGCTCCAACCTAGCCTCCTGTTTCCTCTGACATCTCTGCACTCCACGACTGTCCATACAACAACCAGAGAAATCTGAAAAAGTAATTCAGATCATGTGATGGTCCCCCCTCCTGCTCCAGTGTAAAACCTCCATTGGCTTATCTTGCTTCAAAAAACCACACTCCTCTGTGGCTCTGAAGGCCTTGCCTGATCTGGCCCCTCCTTGCTTCTTGACTTCATCTTTTTCTAAACTCCTGGTGATCTCGAAGTCCCAGCCACACTCACCTTTCTTTTGTTCCTTTAACAAGCAAAACTCAATCCTGTCTCAGGACCTTTGTACTTGCTGTTCCCTCTGTTTGGATAGCTCTTTCTCTGGATGGAAACAAGACTAGCTTGTTTTGTCAGTCAGGCCTTAGCACAAAGTTCTTCCCATCAGTGAGGACTTCCCCAAGTCACTGACACACTCCCCTATTTACCTTTCTCTATAACATTTACCACTACTGGAAATTCTCTTGTTTGCCAACTTATTGTTTTTCTCCCCCGCCCCCACCACCACCTTGATTCACATGTCAGATCCATCAGAGTAAGGACTCTGTCTTATGAATCACTGTATCCCTAAAACCTAAAATAGGGCCTAGCAAAAGGTGAAATTTGTACTGAATGAATCCCAGCTTCTCACCCATCTGCCAGTTATCTGAGTCGCCACATTAAAAGGCCTGAAACTTAAGCCAAGTCACCATGGAGAATAGGACAGACATTGGAGGGGCACCTGGAGTCTCCAGATGTGGGTAAAGTGCTCCTGTCTGCGTATTTGAGGGCCTGCTCCAGACCTCAGGAGCTTGTTCTTGCCTAGATGTGTCAGAAAATGCAAGGTATCCTCCAAGATTTCTCTTCTCCTTCTTACACGGTAACAGAATTTTCAGGTAAGCACCTGGTCATTCAGTTACAGATTACATTTCCCAGTCTCCTCTGCAAGTAGGCATGGCCATAAGCCTATACTCTGGACAATGATTTATACAACTTGCAGGTTGCAAAGGAGTGATCCTTTAGCTTTCCCACCTTTCCCCTTCCAGAAAAAAGCCAGAACGGCCAAACTGGACCTTGAGATGGAAGCCAGTTTTAAGAATGACAGAATCAAGAGGATGGGTCCCTGACTTGACTGTGCCACCATGCCAGATTTGGTCTAACTACCTGGGCGAAAAAAAATTCTCTCTGGTTTGAAGCACTCCCTACCGTAACTCTGTTTGACCAGCCCCAAAGCCTTTCCATTTTCCCATCCACCCGCCTTGAAGCAAGGTCCACCCAGTTACCCAGGAAGTTGAAAGCAATGGAAACGGTGAGCTGGAAGAGCTGCTGAATGGACATCACAGCCTCCTCGAGGGAAAGAGCTTTTGACTTCTCTTGTTCCTGGGGAAGAAATAAAGACTCACCATGGGATGGTTCACCAGAACTGCTACCTGCCCAGGGGAATGTTACGAGGATGTGGAGGCCAAATCTGAACAATACCTGCTTTTCTGCAGTGGGCTGAAGCTGGGCTGGCTCTGCCCTGGGTTGGAAGTTACCACTGGTGGGCAGGAAGCTGAGATCACTGGGATCTGCAAGGAAAATGGGTGACACCCAGTCAGGGCAAAGCAGAAAGTGTGGTTTCTCCTTTTCCCTCCCTGTCCCAGTCTCCCCAACCCCTCCAGCCAGCGCCACTACCAGATAACAAATTCATTCCGAAGTGCCCAGAAAGCAGGTGCCCTACACGAACGACAATCCCCTCATCCGGCATATGCACCAACAATGGTCTATCTGCCCAATTCCCCCCCCCCGCCCCCACCTTTGGCTGATTATAGGAGGTAGAAACATACCTTCCTCACAAGGGCCCTGAGGACCAGATGCCCTCAAGGAGCTGTGTGAAGAGAGGTTCTCGGGCTGAGTGGAGCATTCTTCCTGGCCCAGCCTGGGTTCCCTGGGACCAGTATGCCTGGAAGCTGGGACATCAGGGCTGGGGAGGATGTGTCTCCGAAGTGCTGGAAAGACCCCATAAGAGCAGTCCCATCAGGAGGGGATCAGCTTGGTCTGCCTGAGCTGGCCTAAGGGTTCCCCAAGGTTTGGGGGAAGAACGTGGAATCTCCTGTCACCTCCTTCACACACCCCGACCTCCCTCCTCCATTTCGTTTGCTGGCTTCTATCTGTAGGGGTCCAGAGTGGCCGTCATTTATCCTATCACCTGCTCTGGGTATAAATCATTCCTCTGCCTAGATTTTTCCAGTAGCATGGAGGCATCTACCTTAGTCACTACTGTAGCCCCAGCACCTAGCACTTTGATGATAATATGGATCTTGATTGTAATCGTAAGAACAAGAACTTAAACTAATACTTTCTGGGTACTTACTATGTGCAAGGCACTGTTTTAACTCTTTGATATGTATTAACTCATTTACTTCTTCCAAGAAACCTATGAGGTAGATTTTTATTGTTACCCCATCTTATAGATGACAAAACTGAGGCACAAGGAAGTTAAAAGTGACTTGTTCAGGAACACAAGACTAGTATGCGACAGCTCGGGGGCTTGAACCCTGGCACTAACTCCAGGGTCTTAACCACTTGGGTTGTACTGCCTGGGTACCATACTACATGATAGCTATTCAATGAAGATTCACTTATTCATGAATGACTAACCAGAGAATGACCCAACTGGCTCAGGGGTAAGCAGGAAGCCACACCCAGGATCTGAAGTAGCCTGGATCCCTGTGGGGCTCCCTCCATGGAAGGTGAGGGGAGGACATAGGAGGACACTGAAGAGCAGGTGTGGCCCACACCCTGGGCGGATAGAACTTCCTCACATTCCCTTTCCTCTGACTTCAGATAGGAAAGGCAAGGAGCTGCTGATGGCTCTTTTCCTGAGGTGTGTCCAGAGACACTTCCTGGCCCAGAGAAACTCCCAGCCTAGCCCTGCTGTCCCTGGGACTGAGAACTCACAGGAGCGCGGATGCCACAAGGGAGATGAGAGGAAACGGTCCAGGGGACTGCGCCAAGAGCAGCACCCCGCTTGCCCAGGTCCTGCTGGCAGGGACGACTGGAAGTGGATCTGCCTTGCCAGCTGCAGGGCCAGCACAGCCAGAGTGCCCTGGAAAAGACAGCACATCAGAGACCCAGTTCTGCACCAGTCACCTCCTTCAGTCTCACCCTTCAGCTCAAACATCATTTCCTCGAGAAGTCTTTCCAAACTCCTGGCTGAGGCCAACTAATCTCCCAGTGCCCAAACTTCCCCTATAGAGCCCTGGTCACACTGGGGCTTCAACAATCACCTCGACAATTATTTACCTAAGCTCTGTCTCTCCTGTTAGTCTCTAAGCCCCATGAGGGCAGGAATCGTGTGTGTTTTGCTCACCAATGTATCCCCAGAGCCTAAGAGAGTACTAAGATATAGTACTAATAAATATACACATGTATTTATCAAATGCATGATAAGTTAATGAATAAATAAAGCCTAAGCAGGCAAAAGGATAATGTGGTAAGCTGGGGCTTGGCCACAATTATAGTAACAGGTCAGAGTTCCCCATCAGGTTCACTCTCCTTCTGTAGCCTGGGGCACAAGTCTTCCCCTCCCTCTGCCCAAGCCACCCCACCAGAGATGCAGTCACAGGTACAGGTCTGCTGAAAGTGTCTCGGTATCTCTTCTCTGATAGGTCTGTGGAAGACCTAAGTTAGCTCCTAGCCCAGTGACTGCTTGGTTTTCCCCTTCCCTTCCTGTGAACACCCAAATAGTTATTTATTACAACAGGCACTGAGTACACTGGCTGAGATAAGTTATAGTCTCTGTCCTCATAGAGTTTACATTTTCACTGAGGGAGAAAGACAGATTTTGAGTACACAGAAATATAAACACAATAACTACAAGTTATGCTAAATGCCAACAAAACAAAACAAATCAGGAGTTTTCACAGAGCATAAGAGGGAGGTCTGAGAAAATAGGGCATCAAAGAAAGCCTCTTTTGGAGGGGTGATGTGTGAACTGAGACCAGAAGGAAGAGAAGGTGCCAGTACGTAATAACAGGGACATGTATCCATGGCAGTGGGGACAGATTGTACCCAGGCCCTTTCACATGGTCAACAGTGACAGAGCTGAGGGATGGCATCAGGACCCCTGGAATCCAGACCCAGTTTCCAAAGGGACCCACTGTGGAATTGCTCTAGGGCTCAGGTCTTCAACAAATTGGGGAAATGCTCTGCTCTCCAGGGTATGCTATGGCCCTAGTCCACAGCTCCACAGAGAGAACTGGCCTTGCCACAGAGACATTCTAGGCTCCATTCTGCTGATAACACCAATTTATAATGAGACAACTGAGGCTCAGGGAAGTCAAGTTACTTGCCCAAAGTATACAGCATGAAAGTGATAGGAATAAGATGTGACAGACACAAAAGTGATGTGTGCAGAACCTAGATGGCAAACATTCTGCCTTGTTGGACCTCGTGTTCGCTACTGAGCACCTGACTTTATAGGTCAGAGTCAACTGACCTATGGGAGAGTCAACAAATATTTTCTTTTTTCTTTTTTTTAAATTTTATTTATTTATTTGGCAGAGAGAGACACAGCGAGAGAGGGAACACAAGCAGGGGGAGTGGAAGAGGGAGAAGCATGCTCCCCCATGGAGCAGGGAGCCCAATGCAGGGTTTGATGCAGGGCTTGATGCGGGGCTCGATCCCAGGACCCTGGGATCATGACCTGAGCCAAAGGCAGACGCTTAACAACTGAGTCACCCAGGCGCCCCAACAAATATTTTCTGAGCAATTATCATATACGAGGATCTGTACTAGCATTTCCCTGTCCCTTTCTGTGTACACTCAAATACTTCTTTATTACAATAAGTGCTGTGTACAGTGGCAAAGACAAGTTACAGTCTCTGTCCCCATAGAGCTTACATCTTCATTAAGGGAGAAAGACAAAATTAAAGTACACAGAGAAATAAACAATAAGCTGTAGAGCCTTGTAGCTAAGATCATGAGCTCCAGAATAAATATGGTTTCTTTATTTCATAGCTGTATGACCTTAAGCATGTTACCTAAAGTTTCAGAGCCCGAGTTCCCTTATCTATAAAATGGAGATTATATTTCCTTTCAAGATTTTTTTAAGGATTAAAAATGATAATGCATATATAATATTTCATTAATACATAAAATGTCAGCTATTTAGTATTATTCATTGTAAGCTTCATCAAGGTAAGAATCATATCTACCTTGCTCTCCATTGCATCACTAGTGCCTAACAAAAATGCTCAGAGGTGTTAAACACATTTTTACTGAATGAAAGGAAGAAGAGGGCAGGGAGAAGGGGAGCAGCAATACCTCACCAAACATGCTCCAATGCCATGGATTACTCAAATTTTGAGTGTGGGAACACTGATGGCCTAGCTCTTGTTTCTAGACTATATTTCCATGCAGGATCATTCTCATCCACACAGAAAGGCAAGGACAGGACAGGGGAAGCCTTACCCATGATACGGCATCCCACAAGGTGTTTGGGGAAACACGGGAAGACATCCACTGGAAGGCATCCTTCCATCCATGGGACCTTGGGCCCCTGTTTGTGCCTGGGCCTGGGCCATGGGGGCCTGACCTAGATGAGGCAAGAAAGACTATCAAGTTCTAGCCCAAGTGGGAGGAGAAGGAGGCCGGAGGAAGAGATGGGTGACAGAATGGGAGTATCTCACCTGTCAAAGCTGGGCACAGGGACCAGCGGGTTGGAGGAGGAGGCAGCCTGCGGCCCATCTGGGTAAGTGGACTTGGGGGTCACCCCCCGGAGGCCAGGTCCCAGCAGACGGGGAAGAGCTGTGTAGAACAACAAAAATCAGTCACCTTGACATAAACAGAACTCAGGCAGTGGAGGCCCCACCCATCTTTCCTCTGTCCGCTTGACAGAGCCACACCCCAGGAACCCAGGAATCACTGGCGGGCTGCCTCTACTGTTCTTAGACAAGGACATACGGGGACTCTTGCTTAGTGCAGTTTCTGAGGTGCCATCCAAAACCAATAAACCAGGATCATTCAGGGCATATTTTGGAAAATGCTCCCCAGGTGACTCTGAAATCCTCCCAGGGCTGACGATCACTGTCATAATAAAATTACCCGGCAGTTACACACAACCTCGCTTAGTGTTTGAAGGCTCCGTCTCTAAATCCCGCCTCTTTTCATTGGCTCCGCCTACTCCACCGGCCGTACTTGTCTTTCGGTCTCCAAGACCGGGCTATTTGACTCCTCCCCTTCCAATAGCCCCACCCATTTCCGTGGCTCTACGCTCCACCCTCTTCCCAGGAGCCCCACCCACACCTCGAATTCCGCAGCCCTGACAGGCGGGTGTAGCCCCGCCCACTTAGACTCCGCCTTCCCTCAACTTCAACCCCGCCTGCTGAGGCTTCGGTTCAGTCTTCATGGCCGGTCTTCCTTCTCCAGTTCAGGATCTCAGCTGCCTCACGACCCGCGGCTCCGACGCCTCTTACCGCGGCCCAAGAGTCCCGGGAGGCGCCACATGCCGTCGCCAACAGCATAGAGAACTCGCAGTCCTAAGACCGAGGGCCGGCCACGGGGCGGTGGCTAGAGGGACCGCTCTGGCGCCCTCCGAATGGCCGAGTCCCGAGGAAACACTCAGTCAGCCAATTAGAAAGGGGCACAGCCGGAAGGCCGGGCGCTGCGCGAAAGGAAGTGGGGGGTGGTGTAGGCGTGTTTTGGGCTGGCGAGGAGGTGAACTGCAGCAAGGACATGGATGTGGGCCCCACTTCCCCCTGGAAGAGGCGTCGCTCGCCGCCCGCGCGAGATCTGGGAGAGCGCGCAGCCCGGGGCTTCGCAGGTGGCGGAGCCGAACCACGTCAGAAACGAAACTGTGGAGAGGCGGGGCTGGGGGTCTCGGTCGCGCAGGTCGGTCGCGCCTGTGCCGGACAACTTTGTAGACACCAGTCCCTCACTGGACAAGTAACCAGGGCCAGTGGCTGAAGGAGAGGAGCTCAAGGGTCCAACGAGAGAAGCTCGTAGTCCGAGCTTTCCCGTCCAAGACCCGCTACTAGAGATGTGGCCTGGACCGAAAGGGTAGGCGATTGAAAAAAGGCAGCGTTCTGATTCCGGGGTTCCAGTTGTGGCTCAGGTGTGTGTCACCGTGTAGCCTCCGCACGACCCCTTTTCCTGTTTGGGGCTCAGCCTGCGCCATAATAGGATCTGATGGAGTGATCTCGACTAGTCCTTGCAGGCTCAAGAGGAACCGCGGAAGCTGCTTTCCAAATACCTAAGAGGAGTCTCCCTCACCCCCCACCGCACACACAAACACCTGTTAATCAAAGCCTGCCGCAGACCCACCCAGTGTTATCTATGCATTATTCTGTGTGGAAGAGAATGGTTCTGCTTTCACCACACGAATCTATAAAGGAACTCATTCAAATGTAAGATGCTTGGACTTCCACCCTCCTTTCCCCCAGGTACATGACTTATGGTTGGGTGAAGTCTACACCTGGTGTAACAGTTCACTGGGATCACCTACTTTTAGACCTTGGCATGACAAGACAGTTGTATTTATTCAACAATATTTAAGCCATATGGCAGCCACCATCCTAGAATCTGAGAAGACAGTTAAGTAAAGAGCATTTGTGACCTCCCTGAATACACCATCCCGTGTTTTAAGAATGACCTCTGGAATTCCACAAATGGTTTGAAGCCTAGCTCTCTTACTTCCTAGCTATGTGTTCTTGGGCAGGTTACTTAGGCACTTTAAGCCTCAGGTTCTTCATCTATAAAATAGAAAAAATACCCTCTGAAATTGAAGATTACATAATCCATTTAAAATGTTTAGCATAGGGGTGCCTGGGTGGCTCAGTGGGTTGAGCCTCTGCCTTCGGCTCAGGTCATGATCCCGGGGTCCTGGGATAGAGCCCCGCATCAGGCTCTCTGCTCAGCGGGAAGCCTGCTTCCTCCTCTCTCTCTGCCTGCCTCTCTGCTTACTTGTGATCTCTGTCATATAAATAAATAAAATCTTTAAAAAAATAATAAAATGTTTAGCATAGTCCCTAGCACATAGTAAGAACCTAATGTAATTTGCTGTTAATTGCAATGGTGGAGGAGGTGAGTAGACAAAAACAATAGATATGTCCTAATAGAAGCATGAGCACTGGGTTATGGGATACTGAGAAAGGATTCAGGAAAATAGTCGCATTCAAGCTGGACCTTTACATATGAGTAAAGAGCTGGTTAGGCAGAGAAAGGAGAAAGCCATTACAAGCAGAAGCAAAAAATAAAGGCCCAGGAGTGCAAATATTGGGAAACTATTTAGAGATATCCTTGCTTTGGGATTTGGGACAGCCACCTTTCACATTCCTTGTGTTGCTGCCTCAAAATAACCAGCGCTCTGGTTTGGCTCTGTTCTTCCTCCAGGGACTTCTGCACCTTTCTTCTGTCAGCCTGTCTGCAATCCTTTTCATGCCCTCAGGCTCAGCCACATCCAGCTTTTCAGTGAGAACTCCCCAATTGTTTGAAACCTCACTGCTCTCTGCTTTTCCCAATTCCTGTAGCACTTAATTTCTTACCACACAATTTAGCAGTAATTATATGTTGTCCTGTTATTTAATTATCTCATTTGTGTAAGTCTACTCTCCCCAGTTCTTTCCCTCAGGGGAGGGATGGCATTTTCCCATTTTGTGTCCCACATAGAACTTGACAAGAACTGTCAAACAGTGTCTCTTGACTGGACACCTTGTGCTGAAGATAATTACAGGCAAGAGCACCAGACCCCAATCAGGGATTTATTGATTTGGGTAGTAACATATTCATTCCACATATAAATCCTGAGGGCCCTTCATGTTTGAAGCTAGCTGAAACATTGTGATGATAACGTATCTTGTTTTCATATGTAAAATGACACCACGTCTCTTTAGGAATCTAAACACTGACCACTTATGTGCCACGGCAAGGGCAGCTGGAGTCCTCAGTGGCACACCAGATCACCTGCTCAGTATTGCCTAGAGGAACACCATCAGAACAACAACTTTGTTCCTTTGCCATTACCTTTGCTAAAGCCATTGGTCATTTTCTTCTTAGCTCCCAAGGTTGCTGTCTGTTGTTGGCTTGTGGCCCAGTCAATTTGACTCAATCCTTCTACAGAGATAAGCTATCTAACTTAACGTTGGGAACCTACTGCCTGGGGAGGCCTGGGTGGCTCAGTCCGTTAGGTGTCTGCCTTCAATTCAGGTCATGATCCCAAGGGTCCTGGGATTGGCATCGGGCTCCTTGCTCAAAATGGGGAGGCTGCTTCTCCCTCTGCCTGCCGTTCCCCTTGCTTATGCTCTCTCTCTGAAAAATAAATGAATAAAATCTTTAAAAAGGAAGCTACTGGGGCGCCTGGGTGGCTCAGTGGGTTAAAGCCTCTGCCTTCGCCTCAGGTCATGATCCCAGGGGCCTGGAATGGAGCCCTGCATTGGGCTCTCTGCTCAGCGGGGAGCCTGCTTCCTCTCCTCTCTCTCTCTCTCTCTGCCTGCCTCTCCGCCTACTTGTGATCTCTGTCAAATAAATAAATTAAAAATCTTTAAAAAAAAAAAAAAAGGAAGCTACTGCCCAGTTATATTACAACTTTTTTAAAAATGGTTGTGGTCAGGGCACCTGGATGGCTCAGTCAGGTAAGCGACTGCCTTCAGCTCAGGTCATGATCCCAGTTGTCCTGGGGATCGAGCCCCCCTTGGGCTCCCTGCTCACTGGGGAGTCTGATTATCTCTCTCTTCCTCTCTTTCTTCTGCCTCTCCCCCGTTCATGCTTTCTCTCACATAACTAAATAAAATCTTAAAAAAAAAAAAAAAAAAAAGGATGTGGTCCCTGTCCTCACAGAGAAAATAGTCTAGCAGGGCAGACACACTCAGTAGACAAGTAAAATACAGCATGGTGTTTTAGTTAGTGCAGCATAACAAATGCTCTGAAATTTAGCGGCTTAAAACAATTATTTTATTACCTCTCACAGTTCTGTGGATTGACTGGGCTCAGCTGGGTAATTCTGTTGGTCTCCCTTCAGGTCTCTCATGATGGGGCAGTCAGCTGGCAGCTGCAGCTGGAGTCCTATCAAGGCTCAACTAGGACACTGGAATGGCTGAGCCTTTTTCCTTCTCCACCTAGCCTCAGGGTCTCTCTAGCTGAGTAGCTGAGCTTATATGGTGGCTCAGACCTTCTCAATGTACAAAAGTGCAAGCGCCCAGGCTTCTTAAGCCTTAGGCCTAGAACCTGCACCTATACTCTGCTGGCTAAAGCAGTTCATACAGTCAGCCCACAATCAGTGCAGAGGGGAAGACATGTGAGCACAAATATTAGAAAGTGTGGTTTAGTGGGGAAAGTACAGGGTGCTAGCTAGGAGAACATCTAGGTATGGAAGTCAGGAAGACTTCCTGGAAACAGCAACATCTTAACTAATGAACCTGAATGATGAAGTTTGGGAAATAAGCAGGTGAGGAAGGGAAGGGGAAGCAGTTCAGGCAGGGAAAACATCTGGTGCAAAGTCCCAGAGAGGCAAAGAGGGCACAATTTAAGATCAGTGTGGCTGTAGCTGGATAGGGAGTAGGGTGGGAGGTGAGGTCGGGGGGGGGGGGGGGGGGGG